ATCTTTTGAGTAGCTTCACATTGTTTTTTGGGTGCACATACTACAAGGAATATAGCAATATCAATACATTTTGTACATTCAAAACGGCTAGCCAAATTTATTTGAAAATCAGGATGTTTCAGATCAGCAATTTGATAGTTACAGTTATGGAAGGAACAACAATTTCTTGAACAGTATAGAGTTATGTAACAATGCGAAAACAATGTTAAGAACTCACAACTGGGCATGCAGTGGAAAAACACATTACTATGTACCATGTACAAAAAGCTTCATTAATTCAGTTCACAAATCAATATAAACAAAATCATACAACACTGCAGTAAATACAATTCATTTGTAAGCACATTGAAGTTATGCAAATAGCACCTGTCAAATTAAATCTGGAGCAAATAAATAACACACATACAAATAAATAAAAGCCATACAACCAACAAATTAACAATTTAAATTTTCTGTTATGTAAATCCGGTGAAGTGAAAAAATAACAGTTACATTTGTTGTCATTGTATATGTGTATCTGTTGTTAAAACAGAAACGGTATGCTCTCTAAGCTATTCTACTGATGTAGACTTGCTTCGATTCAACTAGCTATGTTAATTCATTGGCATGGCATTGACACAACAGAAAATTGTGCATTAATACAGTGATCTTGAAAAACATTTCACAGAATTGGTAAAATGAAATTCACATTTTATGAATGTATAAACACAAAGTAAATCATGTGTCGCAAAATTTTCATTTGTGCCTCTAGTCACCTACACAGTCACATTCAATTTCATTGTTTTCTGGAAGACCTCTCACTTCCCAGCAGTCAACAAACTGATTCAACTTGATTATGGGCGATTCCATTTTGACTCTGAATCTTTGTAAAATCAGTCCTGATAGAGGGCGCACTATAAGAGATAACATTACTAGAAGTTTATAGATTATCACAGTTGAAAGGCAGTGATTGTCACAACCATGTGCATTAAATATGAATCTCATACTGTGTGTAGCAACATGTACACACATGGATCAAATGTGTTGTTTTATTTACACAAAATTGAAAAGCATTCAAATGCATGTGATCAAGACAACATCCACTGATCGCCTTAATAGTGGTGACGTCAAATCTGAGAAAAATGGACTGCTCTATTGTACATTATTATATTATGACAAAATTAAATTACAATGCAAACATTACAGCAATAAAAATATAGAAAAAGTATAACAAATGATATACAATTTCAACAAGTCCACACTCTAATTCATGAAATCTGATGTGATGAAGGAATGAAAGCTAGGAGGAAGTTCAATGTGACAAGTTTGCTTGGTCGTGCAGTTGACAATCATTTTAGAAAATAGTGGTATCAGAAATAATATATATCAAAGTCATTCATTCGTCTGTTCACATCACAGCAGTGCTTCAATACTGTTATATATATTGCTACTTTAAGGCCCTTTGAGTTTCCAAATCACAGGTACACAGAAAGTTTCCCTTTTTAGAGGGACAGGTGGATTCAAGAATTTCCAATGTTCAATTATCTAACACTCAAATGCCAGAATGAAGCAAGTACAAAATGTAATATAGTGCCTACTACCTAACATCTATCATTCAAGTACATTTAAACAAATTCACAGTCAAGAATTTCAAAGTACTCTTAAAAAACAAAGGCATTCCCTTCGTCTTTATAAATTTCATAATTCAAACTGCAACAAGAGGTTTATATTGGCCGATTAAATAAGATTGGAACATATTCAAATGACGTTGTGCACTGTGCTTGTTGATTGGCTGGCATAAAAATTCATAAATATTTATAAAGATGGAGAGAATGCCTTTGTTGCACTAAAAGTATGCAACATTGCTTCCAAGCTTATGTGACACAATACAGTTGTGTTTAGAAAGAGGAGAGGAGGTGGGAGTGGGAATAACACTGCACCAAAGACAATAAACCTACATAAGAGTTATGGCCAAGAGAAAAATACATAACTTGAATGGATGAGCCTATGGTTCACTGGCTGCTAACACTACTGAGTATGCATGACCAAGTTTTGATTTTGAGAAGGAGTTGGAAGTAGGGGGTGCTCCCTGGATCAGTCCTTTGGAAAATTAACCCTCTGAACGCCAATGTCAAATTTTGCCCCATTCACAAAATGCAACCTGTCTAAAATTTTGTTTATAGCTTTCTCAAAATTTTGTTCAAGGTCCAAAATCCTATAGAAAAAATACATAAAAACAGGCACGATGTTGCAGTTAAATTTAAATATGGTAATCAAACGATTAAACAGGTCTCTATGGCTGTTTCTCCTCAGCGATATCATACAAACATTTCATTTATAGCTAAATCTATATGTTTACTTAGATGCTCACAACAATGCTTAGTACAAATCTGCAACAGTTACAGTAAAATAGCTGTATAAACTGCATATCCACGATAATCAGATAGTAGAACCTTACCATAACAGCTGAAAATTACACCATCACATACAGGACACCTATGTACTGTTTACATTTGTTTACATTTTGCACAGTTGCCGGACACAAGTTCTTGCATTCAAATATAAGAAATGGTGTTGTTAGCTGATGTTATCATATACATACTTGCATGCATGTACATATACATATTCTTAAGAAACTATTTGTAAAACATTTTTACAACAGATTGTGTGCTGATCAGCGAGTGTTATGTTTTTATCAGACTTTTGCAAGCTGGTTGGCAAAAATGTAAACAAATTTAACAGTTGAGTTTATTATAATTGTTTTCTAGACTGGCAACGTTTTTTTCTGGCTAAACATGTATTACATTTATAACTATTCAAAATACCCCCTCTCACATTTTTTTATAAGTTAGAGAAATACAAAAACTTTAGAAGGGACAATATCATGTTAATTAAAACGCACTGTTATTTTATGTTGGACTAAAATATTCCTGTGCAAGTATGGAAAGAGTTTACTGTGAAATACTTTATTTTACTGGAATTAATTTTCGCTGAAAAGGCATTTAGGGTGTTTTGTATGGAATTTATTTTCACTGATTTTTGACGAGTTGAATGTGAAATATAGGGAAAAAAGTATATTCGCTGGAATTTATTTTCCCGGAATCATCCTTTCAGCGAAAATAGCGAAAATAAATTCCAAGCGAAAATAAAGTATTCTACAGTATTTGAATATAAACATATTTAAAGAGATACAGTAGATCTGCAACTAAATAAACTATTTTTGCTATGACACTGTTAAATTCATCAAGTTCAGTGCTATTTTCTCAATGTCTTTTCTCTGTGTTGTACCATTCTCATCAATGTGCAATTTAGTAAGACAAAGATCGTCCAGGGATTTGGATCTCTTGATTTTTCTCACAGGACGTTTAGCAAATTTTATCTTCTCTTTCCCTTCTCCTTGGTTACCATTGTCAACCTTAGAAGTTATTACTTCATCACTCTCGCTACATCTTCTTATGCAGGCCCTCTTTTTGGGAACTGTGTATGGTTTGCGAAATCTAACACGCGATCTGTGCATTTTTGCCACACGATGGTGACTAATATAGAAATCACTACCAGTGGGAAGAGGATAGGAGGCTCTTCTACTTTTGTCTGTTTCTTCATCAAACTTGTGTGATGGAATATCGGTGAGGCTTTTCCATGATGTTGGAAGCGACTTTACTGGCTGTAGTCGCGTAACAAATGCTGAGTTCATCTGAACAACTGTAAATCCATGTTTGGAAGTTTTACAAGTATCATTTTTTGATTCTTTCTCTTTCAAATATTCCTTTCTACTATTAGTGACAGCACTGAGCATTCCCAATTCATGCAGTGCACTGTCTAAGTCCAATTTACCTGGCTCTGCCATCTTGTTACCCTGTTCACTTCACCTGAAAGACAAAAGCAAAGATCAGTATTTGTGCTGTTATGAAACAAAAGCAAAGAGCACATTACATACTGCAGAATACTTTATTTTCGCTTGGAATTTATTTTCGCTGAAGGAATGATTCTGTGAAAATAAAATCGCATGAATATACTTTTTTTCCTATATTTCACATTAAACTCATGAAAAATCAGTGAAAACAAATTCCAAGCAAAATGCCCAAAAAGCCTTTTCAGCGAAAATTAATTCCAGCTAAAATAAAGTATTTCACAGGAAACTCTTTCCATACTTGCACAGGAATATTTTAGTCCAACAAAAAATAACAGTGCGTTTTAACATGATATTGTCCCTTCTAAAGTTTTTGTATTTTACTAACTTATAAAACAAGCAGCCTATCGGCTGAGATAGCTCCGCTGTTAGCAATGCACATTTCAATTAAAGAACTGAAGACATCATTAGAAAATGAACAATATGAATAGTATCAAAGGAATCGGACTTACAGTTTTTAACAAGAAGTCGAAAATATCACTTTTTACCAAAAATTACAAAAATATTCACCAAAATAAATTAATTAGAGAATTGAAGACATCATCACAAAACGAACAAATCTGAGAGAGGTCCACATGTAGTACCTATATATGTAATATCAAAGCAATTGCACTTGCGGTTTTTAACAAGAAGTCGAAAATATCAGTTTTTACCAAAAATGACAAAAATATTCACCAAAATTAGAGAATTGAAGATATCATCACGAAATGAACAAATCTGAGAGAGGTCCACATGTAGTACCTATATATGTAATATCAAAGCAATTGCACTTGCGGTTTTTAACAAGAAGTCGAAAATATCAGTTTTTACCAAAAATGACAAAAATATTCACCAAAATTAGAGAATTAAAAATATCAACATGAAATGAACAAACCTAAGAGAGGTCTACCCAAGGTACATATACACCAAGTATCAAAGCATTTAGGCTTGTAGTTTTCAAGAAGAAGTCGAAAAAGTAAAACATTGACACGGACGACGGACGACGACGGACGACGACGACGGACAATCACTCATATGATAAGCTCCGCTCGACAAAGTCGACAGCGGAGCTAAAAATGTGAGGGGGTATTTTGAATAGTTATAAATGTAAAATGTTTTTTTCTGGCTAAACATGTATTTTTGACGAGTTGAATGTGAAATATAGGGAAAAAAGTATATTCGCTGGATTTTATTTTCACGGAATCATCCTTTCAGCGAAAATAACGAAAAATAATTCCAGCGAAAATAAAGTATTCCACAGTACATTACAATGTAGGCAAGAACTCAATATAGATGACCACTACCATCAACTTTTGTCATTTTCCACAAAATAAAATCGACATCATTTTTTCATGTTTTTCTCAATAATTGTTATCAACACCTTTGGAAAATTTGAAATGTTGTCCATTTGGTTCAAATTTTTTTTTTAAATTATACATGAAAATAGACAAAATGTTGGTGGGAAAAATGTTGTCACTCAAATCAGAAGAGCCTGGTCAAGATATAGATGCTACTTCAAAAGACTTTGTCCATTTGACTAGTAAAGCCAACAGTACTGTCTATGTGTGAGGTCATCCAATTGTTACTATGTAATAAGATCCTTGAGTGTCAACCTTGAAAATTCATTGGTTTCAGTAAGAAAGCTGAGACCAAGATAGTCCGAGACCCACAATGTTGAACACTGTCAAACAGATGAATTCAGCATAAATCATACAGTTAAAACTAGTTGAGTTGTACCAGATCAAACTAAACACTTCCCTGCACAGTGAACAGACTACAGTAACACCAGTTTAAAACACTGCATAACTATTACAACCTTGCCAGCCAGCCCCAGGTACTTTCACATTTACTTAAGCAGATAAACGAATGAATGGATACAAAAAGACAATGCATAATTTTTTCTTGCATGGTAAAAGTGCAAAGCAAAGTGCAAAGTCTTGAAACAAACATTTTGTGCAGAAAATACTGGGTAAAATTTAGGGGGTAAACAAATTCTGACTAAAAATGAACAAGAACCATTCATCAAGTCATCATAATTACATATAAAAATTAATTAATATTCATGTTTCTCAAATAATACTACATGTACTACATCAGTCTCAGTGTCCCTTATAGAATAATATAACATAAACTATAACAAAAGTTTTCGAAAATAAAAGTACAACAACTTATCTCAGCCAACGTGTTCCTCAATTAATATTATATGTACAATACATGTACTTTATTGATCTCAACTTCTCTTATAGAATAATATATAGTACGGTAATAGACTTTTTCCTTCATATACTTTTCTACTTATCTAATTATGAACAGGCAAGATAAAAACCTATCAACCAAATAATTCTTGAAAAGAGGTGTTCAATTTGAGGTCTTGTAAAGAGACTAATTAAGGAACTTGACAATGTTGTTCAGACAGGCTTTCAGTTCAGTTTAGACACGTTTTACTGTATCTTTGCATTTGTATGGTTCAACACAATTAAAGTGTGAATAATAGGCAATGTTTGACAAAACATTCCTCCTGTCAATTAAATTACACAAAATAGTTAGGTATGTGTCATTATAAAAAACATCAATGTTGCGTACAGAAAAACACTTTCTTAGAAGAGTTAGGAAATTGTATTGTTTGAAGTAAAGAGATTTACAGAAGATGGGTCATATCGAAGTTGAGTGGATGTACAGCAAAATGATGCACACAGTTTTGGACTTCAAATAAAAAAATCTCTGTTTATCACCAGGAAATAATTACACTGTCGAAAATCACAAACTACTCTGGGAAAATGTTAGCTCTATTCTCTTGCAAATATTAGTTCTAATACTATCACCTATGTGTTTACATAATTCCCATTCGCACTCAAATCAGGTATCAAGATATGATTTGTGTATACAGTACTGCTAGGCTATACCCTATTACCCTAAACCTCAGTATACCCCCTAACCCTACATTTTAATTCCTGATTCAATTGGTATTGGCTTCAGGAATTGGAGTTCAACTCATACTCTGCTTCCTGGACTCAATATTAAAAGTAGGACCCCGATTTTAGTACAAGAAGGGGTCACATTTGTAATAGAGACACACACAATATATTTTCTTATTAGGAATCTCTGCATAAAAATGCTATAAAACACAATCCATGATTGGCTTTTATTAAATTCTATTGTGTAAACCTAGTAGTTGTGTACAACAGTGTGCAAATGTCCATTGCACACAACTCATCATCCATGGTTATTTAAGCCAATGACACAAAACATGATACCAATTGAAACCCAAGGTTGATTGGGTTGGGCTTATTTTGTTGAAAGGTTGATTATTTTTATTATATACATATATATATATATATATTTTGCCTGGCCTTTATAATGCAAGTACAAACTTGACCATCAACATAACATGGATTTCAATTGTTTCAATGTCTGCATTCGTTATTGCAGCACAAACTGAGTCAACACTTCACAGACTCCGCCTCGTACAAGCCTTGAGAAACAGTCATATAATTTTCATGTCTGGTTCATTGACTATGTTTACTTCCTTCGTGGCGCAAATAAATTGTTAAATACGTGAAGCTCAACATACAGTAGATTTGGCTGAGATTTCAAGAGCATTATAATTATTACGAAATTATTATTACGCTGCAGAAAACGTTAACGAACTTGACACTTGCACGAACTCTTCCACAAATAAACAAAACGATGGCCTCCGCAAGGTTGCTTGTAAACAAACCAGCCAGACCATTCTCCGCACTCAAATTTCCGTTATACATACAATTAAAAATTCGCATTTATGCATTTTGCACTTACCTTTCTCCTGTTCTCAAAGAAAACCACTTGTATTTATCTGGAATACTACATTTTCAGGAATTTTGCGGTGGGGAATAATCGCGACCTCAACCTATTCACGTACGTTGCGGAATCCTAGGGAAAATCGCGATATTTCTCCCGAGATTCAATTGAGGGCGCAACAAGTTGGGTTTAAACCATTCTGAATTTGAAATTACATTTATTATTTCAATCACCACGGCCAACCCTCACTTGACTAACATTAGCTGAATTTAATTTCTGTTAAAACTGATTTATTAATATAATAATTGGTTAGACAAATAATAATATTACACCACACATTGTAGAAACTACAGTCACCCCAGAAATAAATAGACGAGTCTACAACAATTACGGAGAAAAGACACAACGAACTAATTATAATACTGAGGCAGCTGGCATGTTTGTGCGACAGAAATTAAGAGAAAAGCCGTCTGCTGCTGATTGGACAACAGACCTAGAAATTGAACGATGGATGCTGCAACT